AGCATTAGAATGTAGGCTATGCCTTGATCTATTGCAGTCCCTACAAAAATATAAAGACCAGTAAAATTATAATTTAATCAAATCTTTTCATATATTTAGATTTTTAATATGGTTCTAAATATTTTATCATTAGAAGCATTGTCTGAAACTCCAGCCACCTAATTGAGTATGCACATATTTTTTAAACTTAACTTCCATATGAAGTAATTATAGGATCATCCCTTTTAGCCCCAGTTGATGTTGTTAACAATTAGATTTTTAGTCCTTGTTTGATCCTTATTATTTTCAAAATACGTTTTTCTCTCCCTTCTTTTTAACCAAACGTTCTCCATCAATCTCGTATTCCAAAATTCATTCTTAAGAAAAAATATGGCTCAAACAGGCTTTTAAATTTTGATAAAAGGTGATGAAATATGTAGTTGAAAATGTGATAAAATAAAGAGAGGGAGGGAGAGATATAGAGCGGGAATATAGAGATGTACCATCGCTGGTGGGAGAAGGTGCCGGAGCAAACAGTTCTGCAGGCTGAGCCATGGTGGCCGGGAAAGTGGCGGCGGCCAAGATGATAGACAAAAGCGCCACCAATCGAATCGAAGCTCTGTTGATCACCGCCATTGATCCTGTTTTCTCTCACTCTCCTCTTTCTATTTCTCTCCCTGAAACGTGCGGCTCGCAAAGCCGGTTTCGAGTCGCGGAGAGAGAATGTAGAAAGAGAAACTACAACCTGGATTTATTTGGAGGAGGCCGAGGAATTTTGATGAAGAATTAGTGTAATTTATTGTAGTGTAAAGAGGGTTTGTGGAGAAGAAAACGGGGAGGCCATAGAAATTGGCATTTTTTTAACGGCTGAGCTGGCGTTGCACCACCGGTTTTGTTGGCCAGGCCAGTGGAGGCTGCCACCCCCTCGCTATCATGTAATAAATTGTTGTATGCCAACTTATTTTTAGAACTTTTTGATCGATCAATAATTAGTTTGCATGTGCATGCTAATAAATAAATTTCAACTTATTCTTTAATAACTTTTTAGTCTAGCTTATAAACTTAACCTGCAGTTCCTGGGGATAGGCACGATCTAACGCTGAAAAGAACCTAATTGAACTAGGTATTAATAAATATTTAAAAATGAAATTATTGGTTCCATCCCAAAGGGACTAAGCCTGCTCATTATGGTTTTGGTTCGGTTGGATTTTTTCGACTAAAGTTATAAAATTTGCAAATCTATGGAGTATGTAATTGATTCGGAGTTGTAATGTGTTGGATAATTTCAATATATATAGGGCCACACGTTGTATATTGAAATGTGTGGTGCTATTGTTTGAAGGATATTGGTCAATTAAAGTGAT